GCTGCTGCTGCTGCTGGTGCTGGTGAAACTCTCCGCCATTCTCCACCAATGACCAAGGGCGCAACCCAAGTACCGTCATCGCTGCCGGCGTCCTCAGCTGCTTGCTACATGATCTCAACTGGAGTGCAGCGTTCGAGTCGCTCTGGGTGCAAAGATGCCCGTGCAGAAAATTGTCGGCTGCAAGCTAGAAACCCAGCCCAGCCGGTCCAGCGCGACTGCACTTCGAGTCAGACATGCGCTGTGCACGTTGGGAGACTCACCCCAAACAAAAAAAAAAAAAATGCGTGTATGATGATAAGCCGGCGTACAGGTTTGCACTGCATGTTCTGAAAAAACGCACAAACAAATACAACCTTGCACCTGCAGAAGAAGCATTCTGAGACGCTGGCCCTCAGGAAGTACTGGCAGGTACCGACATTGAACCTGCAGCGAGGTGCGGAGCTCGCGGTGGGCTGGGTGAGCGGGGTATTTGACAGAGAAGCCAATGAATCCTGCGGAGTTGTACCGAGACCGGATCCCGACACCAGTTGATAGATTTCCGCTGGCACAGTCTCGTGCTGAGCACCAACCACATCTCACAACAGCGAACGTCTAATGATGCAGGACTGAAACGCGATGCGAGGCCATTGTACGCAGTGTTGTCGAGGATGAGGAGTTGCAACTTGCAAACTGAATATTGAAGCTTCAAGCTGCGTCATAGAAATGTCGCTTTCCACAAGTCAGGCTACTCAAATGCTTTGCACCATGCTCTTTTGCATTTCTGTTCAAGAAGACATGAGCCGTCACGTTGCGCACTCTTCCAGAACCGCAATTGCAATCATCTGATTCGAGCTCCCTGCTTGATCTCTGCGTGGCTCGGAGCGAGCCCAGCATTCTCAATGTACATGGTCACAGCCTTGGCTGTCATCGGCCCAGGACTGCTGAGGGGCTCTGATGCTTCGTCACGGCCACGATTTTGCATTAGTACAGGCATCATCGTATGAAAGTCGCCATGATGATAACACTTGTGTGTGGCAGCCTTCGGGTTAGTAGCTATATAGCAGTTTCTCCATAGTCCGACATTGTACAATGCGACTCCACTGTGGAGGGAGACAGGCATTGAAACCACTGAGGGGCCGCATAACATCCGTGTGACTTCCTCAACACCCACAGTGGAGGACGACGCTTCGAAACCGAGTTCGGCGACGTCGACGAAAGCTACGACATTCTACTAAGCCTACCACGCTACTACAGCCATCAGTACGATGAAGAAGAACTACTGCCAACATGATGCTGTTGCCATGACCATTGCTGCTGTTCTAGACCCTTAGTCAACTTCACCACTGTTCCCAGTAAACTGCCAGTACTATCTGGTGCAAGCACATGTGAAACCAGCATGAACCCGAAAAATGGGCTGCAGGCGTTGCTGCTCCTGTCACTTCCGAAGAGCTCGCCTTGGGGGGTCCTGTGTTGCATTCTCTTTCTCGCATGTTACTTCAAATGGTACTTCGGGATTAAAGGTTGCGGCTCATGGCCACGAAACCCTCACAAAAGCATTTACTATTGTTCCAGGACGCACCCCGGTGTCCCAATTGTCTGGCGTCCTGTTGATGTAGATGAACCTCCCGGCGAAGAGCCCCTGTCAGAGTGCTTGCAAAGCGGTGGGCTTGCTGAAGCTCGCAACCAAGGCTTGACGCAAGCTGGAACCTTGCATTGCAGCTTAGTGGACGAGGGAGCGCAACACCGTACCATACCGTACCTGCTTCGACCTTACCAGGGCACGGAAGCTGCGGCTTAGCAGGCCTGAGGTCAAGGGGCAAGTAACAGTTGCGGTAATTCTGAAAATGCTTTGAAGGTCTACACCCACTTACAAACATAGCCATACACACCGGCATACCTAGCTGCCGACTTACCGACCCACCTGCCTCCCGCGTCGGTGTGTCGGTGCGCACGCGCGTGTGTGTGTGTGT